AGCCTGCCACAGGGGAGGACTAGTCTCGAAGGTCTTTTTCACTGTTAGACCTATGGAGGATGTTGGGGTGGCATATTTATCTAAGGAGGAAGTTTTGTGGGGATCAAAATAATTTAGGTGTCTTCAACTTTGACATTAGACAAGAAGAGGTACAGGGCTCATTAACAATGATAACATGCCTAGTTATTTATCATAATTTTATATGATATAATTAAATCTGCAAGTGCACATATAAATGTATAAAATAATATAATATGTATAATTAACAATATATACTATATATGAGATATATAATACATACTGTATTGATTATAAGGTGTTTTATAAAATGTGATATTTAACGCATGTAGTTCTTATTATAGTTTTATTAAGATATTGCATACCATCAAATTCAGCCAGTTAAAGTGTATAATTCAACAGTTTGTAATATAGTCACAGGTTTGCGCAACCATCACCACTATCTGATTCCAAAACATTTTCATCAACCCCCAAAGAAACTCCATACCCATTAGCTGTCACTCTCTATTCCTTCCTCCCTCCAGTCAGTGTCTGGTAACAACGAATCTACTTTTTGTCTCAATGGAGTCCCCTATTTTGGACATTTCATATAAATGGAATCATATGTGATGGGCTTCTTTCACTTAGTATAACGTTTTCAAGGTTTCTCCATATTTTAGAATGTATTAATATATCATTCCTCTTAATGGCCAAATAACATTGTATTGTATGGATATACCACTTTTTGTTTATCTGTTAAATCACCTGATGAACATTTGGGCGGTTTCCACTTTTTGGTGATTATAAACAATGCTGCTATTAGCACTCATGAACAAGTTTTTGTATGCACATATTATTAATTTACCTAGATGTGGAATTGCTGAATCATATGGTAACTACGTTTAACTTTTAAGGATCTGCCAGACTATTTTTCAGAAGATGGCTACTTTAAAATTCCACTGGCAGTATATGAGGGTTTCAGTTTCTCTACTCTCACTGATGTTTGTTATTGTCTATGTTTTTTTTTATTTTAGTCATCCATGTGAAGTGGTACCTTATGTAGTTTTGATTTGCATGTAGGAAATGACTAATGAGATTAAGCCTGTTTTCATGTTCTATCAGCCTTCTGTATATCTTCTTTGGAGCAATGTTATTTAGATCCTTTGTCCATTTTTAAATTGGTTTGTTTTTCCCTTTGTTGTCGACTTTAAGTGTTTTTTATGTGGTCTAGTCCCTTATCAGATATATGATTTGCAAATATTTCCTCCAAATTATGGGTTATCTTTTTATTTTTTTCATGGTATCCTTTGAAGCTCAATAGTTTTTAATTTTGAGGAAGTACAATTCATCTGTTTTTTCTTTTCTTACTTATGCTTAGTGTTATATATAAGAAATAATTGCCTAATGCAATGTCACAAGTATTTATGCTTAGGTTCTCTGCTCAGATTGTTATAATTTTATCTCTTACATGTAGATCTTGGGTCTATTTTTACTTCATTTTTACATATGACGTGAGATACCGGTTCAACTTCATTCTTTTGCACATGGATATCCAGTGGTCTTAGCAGCATTTATTTAAACACTATTCTTTTTCAATTAAATTATGTTGAAATCCTTGTAAAAAGTCAATTGACAATAAATGTAAGAGTTTATTTCTGGCTGGATGTTATTCGATTTAGTAGTTCCTTCTATCTGCTCTGTGACAAAGCACAGGACACGGCTGCCTATTCTGCCGCCATTTTGAATCTCCTCAAGAGTTTATTTCTGGATCCTCAATTTGACTCTATTGATTTATATCTCAATCCTTATGCCAGCCCCAAACACTCAAGAAGATTACTGTAGCTTTACAGTAAGTTTTGAAATAAGAAAGTATGAGTTCTCTGAATGTATTCCTCTTTTGTAAGGATTGTTTTAGCCATTCTCAGTTCCTTTCATGTTAATGAGAACTTTACAATAAACTTGTCAATTTTTGCAAAAACATAGCTAGGATTTCGATAGGGCTTGTTTTTAGCCTGTTGATCAATTTGAATATTGCTATCTTAACAACACAGTGTGTCCCAAGAAATATATACACTTCGAATAATTATTAATTCCAATAGGTTAAATCTAAAAAGAAAGAAACATCAATTGAGCTACCAGATGTTAAAGATCTTTCAATAATATTTCATGTTTTTCAGTGTTCAAGTCTTGCATATTTTCACTTAAATTTTTTCTACATATTTTATTTTTTTGGATGCTATTATAAATGGAATTATCTTCTTAATTTTAGTCTGTTAGTTGCTGGTCTATAAAATATAATTGATTTTTAAATATATATTGATTTCCTATTCTACAACATTGGTAAACTTTTCTATTAGTTTTTCTGTGGATTCTTTAGGGTTTTCTATGTACAACTTCATGTCATCTGCAAATAGAGATAATTTTATTTCTTTCTTTTCAATCTGAATGTCATTTGTTTGCTTGCTGTCTTACTTTGTTGCTTTGTTTTGGCCTAATTGCTCTGGCTAGAATCTCCAGTATAATTTTGAATAGAAGTACAGTAGTGAGAGTAGATCCCTCCTATAATGTTTCTGATCTTGGGGGTAAACTTTCAGTCCTTTGTTAATACAGTGTTAGCTGTGTGCTTATTATAGATGGTCTTTATCAGATTGAGAAAGTGTTCTTCTTTCCTAGATTGTTGAATATTTTTATAATAAAAGGGTGTAGACCACAGGGACACCTTCTCTATAGACGGAGGGTGCTCTATGGGGGAAGACAAAGGGGGTCTGGCCTCACTGATGTGGAAACTGGCAGACCTGAATTTAAAGGTGAGAGAACTTCAGCAGTCTCTTAAACCCTTTTCACCTGCGGTTTTGAACATTGCTATTCCTTCTTTGCAATGCAGCTAGACTTATTTTATATAAAGCAAAGATTTGATGCTGACACTATTCTGCTTAAATTCCTTCAAGGGGTTCTCTTTGCTTCCAATATAAATCCCAAGTGCCTTAAAATAATAGTTAATGATTCTTTTTTTACATATTCTGTCTTTTTTCTTGCCACTCTGACTTCTTGCTTCTTGAATATGCCTTTCCATCAATGACTCTATAAATGTCCCCTGCTTGGAATGTTCTCCCTACTCCACTTCCCCGCCTCCCAGCTGCCTGCATCTGACAAAGATTTCTCCTCAATCTGAAGTTCTCAGCTTATCCTGAAATTTCCTCCAGGAAAGCTGACTCTCAAACTTCCAGGTGGAGGCTCCTCCCACAGGTTGCCACCTCCCTGCTTACCCGTGTACCCATCAACACTTGTGAGCTAAATTATTGCCTCTGTGAGTTCTGAGAAGGAGGTGGTGATATTTGCTGTTCACCCTTGTGTATG